CCCAGGCCGGCCCTCCTCAGACTTCCTCCCCTTGGGGGCGGAGCCTCGGGTCGATGTGTCCCGGCTGGACCTTCGGGTCGGCCGGATCCTCAACGTTCGCTGCCACCCGCTGGCCGAGGGGCTGTCTGTCCAGGAGGTGGACCTGGGAGAGAGCGCCCCCCGCAGGGTCGTCAGCAAACTGGGAGGGAAAACGCCACCGGAGGAGGTAACACACAAGTTTATCTTCATCTTTTTGTTATTTCTTATTGTTTTTACATATTATGACGTTATATATGATATATATTATAATATTTTTATATGAATACTTTCTTCTTCCCTTTGCTGTTGTCTTGACTAAATGTCCTCACTTTCCCCCAAATTCTCATGTGGCCATGAAATGTCCCCACTTTTCAGAAAAGTCCTCACTTTGCTGTTAAATACTCACAAAATGTCCTAATTTTACTTTTATAAGAAGTATTCTCTCTCTCTGCAGCTCCAGGGCGGTCTAGCTGTGTTGCTGTGCAACGTCAAGGCTCGTAAAGTGAGGGGCGTGGTCTCCCAGGCCCGCCTCCTCTGTTGCTCCGCCTCTGATGACTGCACAGAGCCGTTGGCCCCGCCCACAAGCTCCACCCCTGGAGACAGAGTCACCTTCCACAACTACCCTGGTAACCATGGTTACAAAGATGAAGACTGAATTAATTAAAAAATCTGTTAATGTATATTTTAAACGGCTGCCATGATAATTAGTGTGTCCTCAATGAGAAAGTAGCATAAATTGATTTGTTTAGTTGGTGGAGGCTATTTAGTTTGAAACAGTGCTGGCCAGTCAGAATGGTTAGTTTGGTTAGCTGGCTCACTAATAATGTTGGGTTTGTGTCGTTTATGAGAACATGCTAACAAACGTCCAACGTAAGTACGTACTTCAAATTATCTTTGTTTGTGTTGAAACTATCGACCAATCGGGTCGACTGGCTCCAAAAGTAGCTTTGGGGATTTTCCGCAGTGATCCTGAACGCCGCCCTCTGTGTGCTCAGGTGATCCGGACCGAGAGCTGCAGTCCAAGCAGAAGGTTTGGGAGCTTCTTCAGCCGGACCTGCAGGTGGACGGCAGGGGCGTGGCCACCTATAAAGGCTGCCGGTTTGAGGTGAAGGGGAAGGGACTCTGCAGGGCCCCGTCCTTCACCAACTGCACCATCAGATAGACACAGCAAGGATGCTTTTATTGTGAAAACCTGCTGCTGGCGAACACTTTGATAGTTAGTAGCTAGTGCTGTTAGATAACAAAAGAAGAATTAAAGAAATAAAATTCATTTAATTTCAGTTGCATCACTTTTGTTTATTGATTATAAAAAAGAAACCACAATAACCTGTGTCTACATATAACCTGAAGAAAGGAAGTCCCCCCTCTACAATGTGTGTTTAATCTTCAGATTTTAAACTCAGAAGTCAAAATAAACTGTAATCGGCCTCCGTAAAGATGTGTAGAGCGCAAAGAATAAATAAAAATAATAATAAACGATAAGTTCCTGTTTAAAGTCCAAAGTGAGACGTCCTGACGGTCAGAGCTCTGTGATGGTTGCTGGCCGAGAGGCGGAGCAGTCGGTCTCTCAGCGGTCGTCCTCGGATTGACGGCCAATCGCAGCTGTTGTCCAAGAAGAAGACTCCTCCCTCCACCTCCTCAGCCAGAGCTCTCAGCCAATCACTGGCCTGCGTTAGGTAGACTGACTGGTGAAGCCCCGCCTCCTTCAGCCAGTCAGCATACGTGAGAACGAGCAAAGCGTGACGCCGCCATTCAGGACCGAAAAGAGTCTGAACAGACACAAAATATACAAAATACACATAAACAAGTGTGTGTGTGTGTGTGTGTGTGTGTGTGTGTGTGTGTGTGTGCAGTGTGTGTGTGTGTGTGTGTGTGTGTGACAGTGTGTGTGTGTGTGACAGTGTGTGTGTGTGTGTGTGTGTGTGTGTGTGTGTGTACAGTGTGTGTGTGTGTGTGTGTGTGTGTGTGTGTGTACAGTGTGTGTGTGTGTGTGTGTGTGTGTGTGTGTGACCTCAACCTGCTCCTCCAGGTGTGTGTCGCCGTGCGGTCGGTCCGCTCTCACAATGAGCACAAGAACGTGCACGCCCTCGGGGCAGAGCTCCTGCACGCCGCTCTGTGGGCGGGGCACAGCCGCAGGGGGCGTGTCAACCACTCTCAGCGTGAGGTCCGACTCCGCCCCCTGTCGTCTGAAGTACCTCTGGAAGTTTCGGCTGCGGCGCTGGTAGTCGGTCGTCACGGAAACATCAGAAACGCAGGCGCCTGTTTGGAAATCCTCTCCACCTGCCGAACACACAAATTCATGAATTAAAAGTCCAGTTCAACCCCACACGAACAAATATTCAGTAGGTAGCATGAGGCTAGCACCGAAGTTCCAGTAGGAACCTCTTTATGGCGAGTTTTGGCTCCGCCTCCGTCATCCACGCGTCTGAATTCCCACCACCAGAATGCGTCACGTTAATAACCAGCTGTTTGAGGTTGAGCTGGACACGATGTTTGTTGTTGTTTGTTTGTTTTACTGTAGTTTCTTATGTAGAAGTTCTTTTCCCCCAAAGGGGGCGTGGCCTTGGCGCTAGGTCAGGCTTGTTAACCTTAGAACTACTGTGGCTGGCAAGCTAACAGCTAACCGCAGCTAACAGCAGGAACATGCTAAAAAAAAAGCTCTCTAAGCTTCTTTCTGTTTTTCTCTGCAGTGTACAGTTTTACCATTTCAACAGTTTTGAATATAGGCTCGTTAGCTGGGTTTGCTAACTTATGTATTTATTTATGATGTCCTCTAACCAACAGTTCACGCTGCGACTGAGGAGGTTCAGTAAATGGATGCTGACACGAAGCTGAAAAGAAACAACAGCTTCCTCAATTTTTTAACCGCACACCTTTAGGTGATGAAGTTCTCAAGAGTAGAAACCGGTGAAGTTTGGTTGTTTAATCATATTTTTAATGAGCTAACTGACCAATCAGAGCATTCCCCACAGAGCTCCTCCCACTCTGCCGGTCGCCTAGCAACAGCACGTTCAGGGCCAGAACATTCCGCCCGCTGTCGCCGAGGGTTCCGAAGGGGTTGTTGCCATAGCGACCGTGTTCCATGTCGAGGACTGAAAATACACAAAAATAAAATGTTTCATTACTTTACTAAACTTCTTCTTTAAATCATTTTATTTTTGAAAGCTTTATTGTGAAATATTTATTATTCCTATATTTCATTTATTAATAGTCACGGTGACTTTATTTACATTGTTTTTAATTCCGTTTGTGCTTTTTTCAGGTTGGAATAAAAGCTTTAAATAAAATGTCTGACTAGTTTCCAGGAAAAAAAGTGAAATTCCCCAGAAAGCAAACATTAAGTGTTGTTTAAATTCTTTAAAAATGTATTCGGGCAATGGCACTTTGTTGATTTTTTTAGGTTTAAAATCTAATTTTTTAAAGACACATAAGTTTGTATTTTTAAATCAGTTTAATCAGGACAGAGGTTTGTAAATATAACGCAGTGACTCGATTTGGAAACCAAGCTCTAGTTACCAGATATATGTCGTAATCTAGGTCAGAAACCACATCCTGTTGGACTCAAGACCTCAACTGACGCTGTGCAGTAACAGCAGAGTGTCCGGGGGTAAAAGATTAATTTAAAGTAAAAACACTGGCAGCTGTGGTTGCCATAACTTTACAGTTGTCATTACGGTAAAGTTTTCTTGCATATTTTACTGTATAAATACAAGTTTTTACCATCAAAAGAAACAATTTTGCCACATATGATTGCTGTATTTAAAATAGGTTTTGCCATTATATATGACTGAGTGAGTGTTTTACTGTTAACCTATTTAGAGTTTATAGTCTTTTACTCTGATAGTTTGACAGTTTTTCATCTTTTTTGCCTCTTCTTCTTCTTCTTCTGCTGCTGCTGCTGCACACAAACTTCCTCCAGACTTGACAGCTGAACATAAACATACTAACCGCTTCATGAATCAATTTTATATTTAAGTATAAACGATTTATAAAAGTGAGTCTTACCTGCTTTAGCTTGAGACAAACACGGACACATTTCCTGGACTGATCGATACAGGAAGTGTGTCTGTGTTGTTAGTGGTTAAACAATAACCAGTCTGCAGGTTTATTACGTTGTAAAACCGATAAACATCTCTGAAAGGGAGGCGTAGAAGCTTTTCAGACCTCATACTTATGATATTTTGTATCTTATGGTTATGATAATGATTATAAGAAAGTTTGTCTATGTTGAGTTGAAGAAGGTTCAAAGATAACATAAACATATAAAAGTCAAATCTTAGCTTATGTGAATAAAATATTAGCTGGATAGCTGGCTACTTAGCAAAACTGGTTAGCAAAACATGAGCTAAGTAGCTAGCTAATCTATATCAATCTTTAGCTAGCTAATGATTGCTATAGAGTACCCCTAGATATGCTACGTGCTAGGCTAATCTATGTCATGAGAGTTGTATAACTCATATTTATGATGATAATAATGGGATACTATCTAATAACTCGACCTATTATCTGATAAACAATCTCATAATTAAATATCATTGTTATTATTATCAGCAATGATAAAGATAATGTTTGATGTTTACAGCAGCAGCTCCGTCAGCGCTCTCTGTGTACAATAAAGTTTGAGTGAAAACGTGCGTGCAGAGAAACATCATCATCTGCTCAGAGTCTGAAACCACAAAGATAAAATCAGATTATCAGCAGCAGCATGTGGACGTTACTGCAAACACACATTTCTCCTGCACTCGTGAGGACGTACGTTGATCTCCAGCAACATTAAACAAACTCATTTCTTTACCTCTTAATGGCAGAGGTCACGTAAAGCTGCTTTACTTTTAATCATAGTACCATCAGAGCAACAGGGGAAAGTGTGAGTGAAACCAAAGTGTGACATCAAGGAAACACAGGCGGTAAAGTGACGTTAATGCAGATAGGTGTGTGACTGACCTATACCGAACACGCAACAACAGGGAAGCTGGGAAACACGGATGGAAGAGTGACATCAGCGTGTAACAGTGTGTGTGTGTGTGTGTGTGTGTGTTATCTTTATAACAACCATATCCAAACTAAGGACAGTGATGCCCAACAGCTACCAACCACAGAAGAGGGAACATGCTCACACACATCCTCTCTCTCTCTGATTCTCGGAAGGTTTTTGGAAACAAAAAAATTACCATATATGGTCGTACGCACCAGCACATGCTCTGTGAGGTTTGTGTACTTCTTGCAAACTTTCTGCAAAAGGATTCAAATGCACACAATCACACAGAGAACAGATTTATCATCTGAACTTAACTTAAAGTCCTTATAAAACAGTTTCCTCATATTTACGAGTTTCCTGTAAAAACAGGATTAGTTGCTTTTTAAAGTCCAGGTGAAAATATAATTTCACATCCTCCGTTATATTGTTTATTATATGTTGTTCCCCTATTTAGCAATTTATGCCAAAAACTCACAAAACGTAATGTGACGCGTGTTTACGTCAGCATGAACTAACTGATTTCAACCAATAATATCCTGATACTCACCCGTCAATCAGTCTTAGTTAGTCAGCTGGTGGAGCTCACTGATTACTGTACAAACACAACTTTATCAGAGATTTGGGTGAAACTGGATCAGATTTTATGGAGAGAATATTGTCTGGTTTTCCCTCTGACGTCCTCCAGCTAACTGCTAATGTATGGATGAAGTACAAATTATGTCTGAGGACAATAAAGTTTTCTAGTTTTAATGTTACTATTTAAACACTAAGACTGTGTACAGTGTGTGAGAGGACAGGATGAGTTTTAAGGGTTTTAAAAGCTATGAAATATCTGATGTTACTCGGATAAGATTTAATGTGTAACTCAATATGAGGAAGGTATTTGTAAAATTGGCTTTTAAACGAACCGTGGACTCACTGTTTGATTCATCCTGTTCTTCATTACAGGACGAAGACAGAAATCACCTGTTGGACTCTGACATTTAAATCAGCAAACACATTAAAGATCTGGGGGGCGAGTTTTAACTGTGTGGTCATAAATAACTTTTATCTGCACAGATGGAATCATTTCCCCGTGTCTTTGCAGGCCTGTGGGCGCGTCTTTTTCCTCTTTGTTAATCTTATCACCTCCCACCAGCGCTGGGAAAAACATCCCCTGCCTGGTTTTCAGATACATGTGGTCTGAGCTCGTCGGCCTCAGATATTAAACATCAACAGTTGGGAGCCGCAGTGAGAACATACGTTAGCTTAGCTCGCTGCTAATGTTAAAACACTCACTAATGAACACAGTTACATAAATACTCCTGTTAATTACACATATAATGAGAAAATTAAACAACATCTTGTTTTAGGGAAGCTGCTCCACACACTGTAAAACCAGATATATTCATTTAACTCAAAGATTTAATCAAAAACTTTTATTTATACTTTATCAAGAATGTTTTTAATTGAGTTTCTGTTAATCAACAATTCTCTGAGTGAAAATAACGTCACATTACAACGTATCTTAAGTCTGTGGACAGGAAATTATTATAAGAGATTATAACTGTTAACTATGTTGTTCTGTGGAGTTAAACTCTCTTTCACTGGGTTTGGGTTCAAGATTTCTGCCTGTTTAGACATCATTAGCCGCAGCCTTTGTTAACTAGCTACAGTTTGCCTTCCACATTACACAAGTGGATCTTCTCTATATCTTCAAATAACTACTAAATAATAACAAATAACTTTAGTTTGTCCCATCGGCTTTATGAGTTATACTGCAGTCGGCCACCAGGGGGCGACAGAGAATGTTGCTGGTTTCAACTGGTAGACGGTGTTCGATATTTCGCCAGGATTTAAATATATTTTTTGAGATTGTTGAGACCTGAAATTTTTATTTTCACAGCAGAATTTCTGAAAGATTAAATAAGTGTTTAGGTTTTTGTTTTTTTAAATAAAGTTGCAGGAGAAACTGGAAACTTTAGGAAAGAGGAAGTGAGTTTGGTGGGATTTGGCTGATGGTTGAATTTGCGTCAACTTCCTGCAGCGACTGATATATTTAAAGCATAATATGTAGAATTCAAATACTTTATACAATAATAATAATCCTGATGGATCATTAACATTATGAAATATTGAAAAAACCAAACACACAGACACTTATTGGAAATGACAAATCTTTTTAATCATAAAAACACAGATTAGTGATTGATTAGTCTGCCTCACAATACAGAAGATTCCTTCTTAAAGTGGTGGAAATAAACCCCCAAAATAAATGACACATAACAAACAAATAATTATACCAACATTCATCCAAAATATACAGGAAACAACTTATAGAAAAATAACTCTATCACAATAACAACAGTGCAATCAAACAGGATGTCCGGGCTTTAACAACGTTTCACAGTTCGGGACGAGTTCCTTCTGGGTTTGACAGAAGAGGAGAGGGTCTACAGAGTTTATTTATTTCATTTAAATGTGTCCTTGAGGTGTTGGAAGGCCTCTGAGTTTGGCTAATGTGA